CAAGTTTAGTTTTACTTTTCTTTTGGTTTTGTTTTCATTTTGAAAAGCTTATCTTTGCTGTTTACCTCACATTATGCTATGGAGGCTCTCTTTTTTTTGATTCCTCAGTTTTTGCTAAACATTCTATAATTTATTAGTCATTATATAGCCTAATTGTTGTGACGAGTCAGAAGCGTGTGGATCCATTTGCAGATTTATCAGAAGAGTCAGACAATACAGGGTCAAATACCGGCAAGGTAGAACAGCAGAGACAAGGCTGAGACAGAGTCGAGTACCAGGCGAGAGATCGGGGGAGGCGGCAAGCAATCAGAGTCCAGGGGAAACAATCCAAGTCGGGGCAGGCAGATAACAGGAAACAGTCCAAAGCCGAACCCCTCCCAATCGACCAGATACTGTAGGGTACCGCCCCAGCGTCTGGAGTCTAGCAACTCGTGCACTCAATACGCCTCCTCGCCATCAACCAGGAAGGGCGACACATCATCGATTGAACCACATCAATCTGTGGTCCGGCCCCCTCCTCCGTCTCTCCTCTCGGACCACCAGCGGGTTTCAGAAGTGACACATGGAATGTGGGAGAAATGCGGTAATTAGAGGGCAAATCCAAACGAAATGATACTGGAGATATTTGTCTAGCAATTTTGAAGGGACCAACATACCTGGGACTGAGCTTTTTACAAGGAAGTCGTAGGCGTAGATCCTTGGTTGAGAGCCAAACCCACTGGCCTGGGGTGTACTCGGGACTGGGACGTCGATGTCGGTTGGCTTGTTGTTCTTGACGCCTTACGGCATGAAGTAGGTGAGTATGTGCCCGGTCCCAGACCTCCTCGCTGTGTTGCAACCAATCTGTGACTGAAGGTAATTCGGTGGGTTCGCCAGACCAGGGAAACAGTGGAGGTTGAAAGCCCAGGATGCATTGGAAAGGGGTCATGCCGGTGGAGGGCTTCCTCAATGAGTTTTGGGCATATTCGGCCCATAGCAAGTACCTGCTCCAGTTTGATTGTTTTCGTTGGCAGTAGGATCTGAGGAATCGTATCACCTCCTGATTCAGGCACTCGGTTTGCCCATTGGATTGGGGGTGATAGCCGGATGTGAGGCTCATGGTCACATTGAGATGCCTGAAGAAGGCGGACCATATGCTAGAAGTGAACTGGGGTCCTCGATCGGAGATCGGGATGTCATCGGGTAATCCATAGAAACGAAACACATGATTACAAAGTAGCTCAGCGGTTTCGAAGGATGTGAGGAGTTTAGGCAGCGGAATCAGATGGCAGGCTTTGGAGAATCGGTCGACAATGGTGAGTATAGTGGTGTTACCTTCAGAATTGGGCATGTCGGTGATGAAATCAATGGCAATATGAGACCAAGGTCGGTGTGGGGTAGGTAGTGGATTTAGCAAACCAGCTGGAAGCTGTCTAGGGGATTTGGATGTGTTGCATGTGATACAGTTCTGGATAAATTTGGTTGTGTCAGTCAGCAATGTGGGCCACCAGAATCGGTTCCTGAGTACATTTTATGTGGCAGTGATTCCAGGATGACCCGAACTGAGCGTTACGTGTACTTGGGTTAGAAGTCGTGGTCGAAGGGCTTCAGGGACATAGGTGAGGTTTGCCGGGCATTCAGGAGGTGGCGGATCTTGAAGATTCAAACGTTCAATTTCCGTCATGATATCCCATTGTACTGGTGCCAAGAGCAATTTGTCGGGAATGATATTGTCGTTGGAGATGGGATGGCTCGTTTCCTCAGTTTGGCGAGAGAGAGCATCAGCCTTGGTATTCTTGGTGCCTGGCTGGTACATCACTGTGAACCGAAACCTCGTGAAGAACAATGCCCACCTGGCCTGTCGGGGGTTTAGACGTTTAGCTGAGCGCAGATACTCAAGATTTTTATGATCCGTGAGAACGATGAATGGAAGAGCAGCTCCCTCCAGCCAATGACGCCATTTCTCAAGCGTTAACTTTATAGCAAGAAGTTCACGGTTGCCCACGTCGTAATTCCATTCCGCAGCTGTGAGTTTGCGGGAGAAAAAGGCACACGGATACATCTTTGCTGGTGTGCCATGACGTTGAGACAGTATAGCCCCTACCTCTGTGTTAGAAGCATCGACCTCCACTATGAACTCACTTTCTGGGTCGGGGTGTTGAAGGATGGGTGCGGAAGTGAACCGAGTTTTTAGTTCGTTAAATGCCTGCCATGACTCTGGTGACCAAATCACTCTGGCGACGTGACGTTTGGTCATGGTTGTCAGAGGGGCGGCAACTGCGCTGAAGTCTCTGATAAATCATCTGTAGAAATTTGCAAAACCTAGGAAGCATTGTAATTCCTTGACTGTTTGAGGTTGTGGCCAGTCCAGAACCGCTTTGACCTTCCTTTCGTCCATTGCTACCCCCTCCTGGCTGATCACGTAACCGAGGAACGAGATACTGGTTTGGTGGAATTCACACTTTTCAGCTTTGGCATAGAGTTGATATTGCATGAGGCGTTTCAGCACTGATCTGACGTGACGAATGTGTTCCTCCAGGGTGTTTGAATAAATTAGTATATCGTCAATGCATACGATTACCCATCTGTCGAGCATGTCACGGAAGATGTCGTTCATGAATGACTGGAAGACTGATGGACTGTTGGCAAGGCCGAAGGGTATAACCAAGTACTCATAGTGCCCACTAGTGGTCGAAAATGCCGTTTTCCATTCATCTCCCTCTCGGATACGAATCAGGTTGTAGGCATTGCGTAGATCTAGCTTGGTGTAATACTTGGCCCGGCGAAGCTGTTCTAGTGCGGCTGGGACCAGGGGCAATGGATACCGGAACTTAACAGTGATGTCGTTGAGGCCACGATAATCAATGCACGGCCGCAAACCTCCATCCTTTTTCTTTACGAAGAAGAACCCGGCTGACGCGGGAAAGGTTGAGGGTCGGATGAATCCTTTAGCTA